CTTTGGTTTGATTACAGGAAAGTAGGAGGGCCTCCATTTTGTGCTAAATGCTAGAGGACAAAAGAAAGGCCTCACTGTTGTGACCAGCACACTCCCCAAGGTGTCACAACATACTAAATATATTTAGAAAGTATATGCAAAGGGAAACAGAAGCTAACATATTTATATGGATAATGCATGATGGTAACTAGATTGACTTCATAGATCTTTGCTCCTATGACAGGCAGGGGTTTTCATTCCTGAAGCTCCACCTCACTGACCTGCCTGAGTGAGTTATGGTCAATCCCCTCATTGAGGAACCTCTTATTCAGTTATAGGAATGGATAGAACTAGACACTTCTATATACACCCAGTAATGTTTTTGGTAGGATTAATTACAGCAACTTGGCTTGGATTAAGCAAACAAATATTTACAAGGGTAATTAACCCTAAAGCTTCAACATGTAGCTAGGAGGTTGGGTGATAATTAGTTGATAATTGCCAGACTAATGTAATGAAGCCTGCCAAAATACCTCAGCTGCTCTTCACCTGAGTGTAGGTTTGAGCAGAGAGACGATTAATCCCTTTGTAAAAATTCCCAAAGGGGAAAGAATGAATAAAGAGCAACATACAAATCTAGCAGGATACCACAAATAGATGGAAAGTGTTCTTACCTCTTTAGGGAAACAAATGCATGTTCCAAATGTTGTTTTCTGTTTATTTGTACCTCATGGGGGCCTGACTGAATATACAGTATAAAACTTTAATCCAAGGGAATTGCAATAAAACTATACAATGCACAAGTATCCATGAAAAAGGATACTTCTGCCTTGGAAAGCATCAAAGAAAACCAGATTAATTCTGGGTCTCAAAAGAATTATACAAATGGATTAAAGCAAATATATTTACTCAGTCTTGAATAATTTGCAAGTTCTAGCTCTTAATAAATAAAGCAAATAAATTTAGAAAACAAGGAATTGAGGGCTGATATTATAGGCAGATTTTTGTTCCAGATTATCTCAAAATAATTTAACACCACAAGTTTAATTGATCACACTTAGATTGTCATTCCTACATTTAAGAACTGGTGATTTAATGGCTACCTATAAAACCTGATATAGAGGATCTATGTCCTTGAGTAGGGATGCAAATCAAAATGTACAAGGCATGTACTTTGGCTTGGTGCTGCAAAAACACTGTACATATACCAAACACGAACAAGACAACAGACGTCATTAAGACACATAATGTATAACTAGGCATTCTGGTTCAGCAAAAAGAGCCTTAGGAAAAAAGCTGTTCAAATACTGGGTGGTTCTGGTTTTAACAGACCGGTAGTCTCTTCCCGAGGGAAGTTTATGGAACAGGTGGTAACCTGGGTGGGAGGGGTCATCAACAATCTTTCCTGCCTGCTGCTTTGCTCTGGAATTGCACAAAATGTCAATGGAGGGCAGATGACAGCCAACAACCCTTGCTGCTGAGCGAACAAGACACTGCAGTTTGCCTTTGGAGAGGGACGACGTGTTGCCAAACCAGACAGTTACAGAGGCTGTCAGAATACTCCTAATTATGGCTCTGTAAAACTGTATTACAATTGGTTGAGAGACACCAAAGTTTTTCAGCCGGCACAAAAAATACATTCTCTGCCGTGCTTTCTTTGTGATACTGGTATTATTCATGCCCAATTTAAGGGTATTAAAACCTTAAAGGACTCCACCACACTCACAGCCAATCATTGATTATTTAGGAAAGAGACTTTGGAGAATGTTTCTGGAAATCAACCACAATTTCCATTGTTTTAAAGGTATTAAGCCCCAGGTGGTCGATAACACACCATGATGCCAACCAACTCACCTCCCTCCTGTACATGGTCTCATCATCATGAGTGATGAGATCTATAAGGGTGATGGAAGTGTCACTGGAGTTGCAGCTATTGCTATACAGGGAATAGAGTAGTGAGGAAAGCACACACTCTTGAGGTACACCAGTATTCACATCTGTTGCCTTCTATCTGTCAGAAAGTTGATAATCCACTGGCAGATAGAAAGTGGAACATCCAGCTGTAACAATTTAATGTAAAGGAGTTCTGGAATAATAGTATTAAATGCAGTACTAAACTCCTCAAAAAGAATTCTTGCATACGCACCTGAGTGTTTTATATGTTGCAAAATGTTGCAAAGGCACATGTTAACAGCATCATCCACTGTCCTGCTGGTAGTGTAAACTGTAGAGGGCTGAGCTGTAACTCTGTTAGTTTTGAGATAACGGAAGTATTAGGTCTTAATGATGAAGACATGTTCAAAAGTCTTCATTGTGACAGAAGAAAGAGCAACTGGTCTACATCATTAAGACAACCTATTTTGTCCTTCTTTGGTACAGGAGCAATAATGGAGAACCTGAAGCAGGCAGGGATCTTGCACTGACCTGGCAGCTGATTAAATATATCAGTGAACACCAGGGCTAACTGCTCTGCACAATGCTTCTTTGCAGCAGGGGAGGTTCAGGTCAGTTTTTGAACATCCCGCTCTCTGATGGTCTCAGAGGTCAGTGTATGCTAGTTGTGGCTGAAGGCAAGAGGGAAGCAATGAAGGCCATGAGGTAGTTAAATCTGAAGAGGTCATCCAAATGCATGAACTATGATCATCATTAAGGAGCGTCTGTTTTTCAAACCTACAATGATGTACAATAAGTGGACATCATTTTGCCTATTTTGTTTGAGAAGTATTGTCCAACTCTAAAAATCAATCATTATTTTTTACAGTCTTGCTCTCTTGAAACTTCACCCTGGACTGACTGTTCTTACTTTGTAACTTGAAGTGAATGCAACAGTCCTGTGACTACCGTTCACGCTTGTGTTCTGCAGTGATACAAGATCCCAATGCTTCCATGTCCGACACTAACTGAACACCACTGGGAGGGTCTTGGTACTTAAGCACAATGTTGCCTAATGCCAAAAGACAGGGGTGTCCAGCTCTGATCCTGGAGAGCCCCAGTCCAATAGGTTATCATCAATTTCTTTACATTCAGAACAACGGAACTGTACACATTTAGGCAGGGGGTTGGTTAAATTAAGTAATTTAGAGATCAGCTGGAACAAAAATACAGTATGAATACCCATAATCAAAAATGACTGGTCTGAATTAACCAATTTTCATGAATTTGCCAGAAGCATGCATGTATCACCCATCTTTAAGTAATGGTGACTTAGAGATGAAATGGGTTGGAGTAGAACAGTGTATGCCAGACTTTTAGTCAGATACTCACAGTCACAGTCAAGTACTGTAGCCAAGAGCTTTAAAAGAACTTTAAATGACAAAACAAAACTAAAAGCCACCAATTACAACCCATAACGACATGGTTTTCCTTTAAAGTGTCAGAATGTATGTTTTACAAATGGTACTAAGGGAACTTGGATTGACATAATATCAAACTCTTATTTTATACAGCACCTTTAAAAGTAGCTTAAGTAGCTATAGAAGTACTTTGGCTATAGCTGTTGAGCATCTTGTTAAGTAGTAAGATGACAAAGCAATTCCCAGTTGAAGAATATCCTGAAAATCTAACAGGAGAATAAAGACATGATAAAAAATGAACAACGATGACCCTGCTCATTATCTCGGACATTGATATTCACTCCTGTTCCTGGATTTATAGTTAATTTATAATCCTCAATAGTAAACAGTGGTAATACGGGCCAATTCAGTAAATGATTTGTTCAAATAGCATCACATCACATCATAGAGGCCTGGGCAGACTCAAAACCAGAAGACGCGGCTACCATGCAGCATTGACATCAGCGAGGTCGTGCAGTTCGGAGATTGAGACATCAGATACCTGCTACCAGTCAGCTTCTAACGGAGATTAGAATACAGTATCATAAAAACAGCGTTTTAAAAACATTTTTTGTTTCCCGAGAGGCGTGGGCTTTTGTCACAGGTAGTATAGTAATTCCTACTATATTGTTACAGAATTTCAAACAAAAAGTAACATTTATATCAGTAACGTTTATATCAGTAGATATGTTCGGGTTGAAACACTGTGACGTTATTTTAGGGATAATGGAGACAGTGAGATGTGAGTAGCTCTTAAAACAACACTTATTCGCCACACTTATTTTCCCTAGTGTAAATCTTGAGTTTACCCGGAGTTTACCCGGAGACGGTTAGTTATAAATACAGGTACTGTAGGATGGACATAATTCAGCAGCGTGTCCATACGAGACGCATCCCCCCCCAGTTCTTTATGAATAAAATGAGAATACAAACAATCGCAATAAAGTGGAAAAATAAAATGCGACATGCACATGTAGTGCTCATCTTTAGTAACCTTTATAGACCTGCTCAATCCTCTACCATCAATATCCAACGACACACAAAAACCCAATACAGCAACATCACCGTGGGTCTAGGCGACACAATCGGATCTCCAATTTCACTGTTCCCATGCAGGAAGTTTTGGTTCCCAGGCAGCGCGTTCTTTTGTTTTCAAAAAAATTCCTGACGTCAACTAGCCTCGCCAAAAATGGAACTACAACAGTGGGACCAGGCAGGGCGGCCGCGCTGTCTGGCCCAGACCAGCCCACATTCCTTTCCAAATAAAGCGTCACAATGGGCGTCCTTTTCTTGCAGGACGCCCGCCTCTTGCACCAGAAGGGTTGACAGATACAATCAAAGCTTTCTCACAGACGCCGACAAAAAAAAAAACGCGCAGTCCCCTCCTCCTCCTCCTCCTTCTCCGTCAAGCTCATGTTTTGTAAATCAAAGAGCCTGTGGTTTCTGGTCTGGACAGAGACGCCCCTGTGAAACACCGCCTCCTTTTTAACCCTTTGCGGAAGAGTCCAGGGCCGGCTTTCGTTTCCAACCCCGCCTTTCGGAATCATAAAGAAAAACATCAAAGTTTGCCGACCTTCTAGAACTCCGCCTATTACGTCGCGTAAGGCTTTACAAAGGATTTGCCGACGTTCGGGAATTCCGCCTTTCGTTCCTTTTTTAGCACCACGTAGGGATTGGCAGGCGGCCACCCCCCGCCTCCTTCGCTTAATTTGGCTACACAAAGGACTCGCCGCTCTCGTTGACGACCACCCACTATTCCAAATAAGGTCAGTCTGACCATACACGGCGAACAATCGACCGAAGTGGATCCTTTTCCCTTCCTTATCCCGTTTATATGGTACGGTGACTTCCGCTGTTGCTGTAAAAGCAGTGCGATCATGGCGGAGCGCGTTCAGCAGCCCCCAGCTAAACGGCTCTGCTGCCGACCCGGCTACAACCCGGCGTGCAGACAGGGACAGCGGGCTGGAGGAGCAGTGTGCGGCGGTCCGGGTACTGCCCAGGGGGGATCGGGCAAAACTCAGAGCCCGGAGTCGCTGCTGGACATCGCAGCAAGGAAAGTAGCGGAGAAGTGGCCGTTTCAGAGGGTGGAGGAGCGATTCGAAAGGATCCCGGAGCCCGTCCAAAGGAGGATCGTCTACTGGTCATTCCCTAGGAGCGAACGGGAGATCTGCATGTATTCTTCCTTCAACACAGGCGGCGAGGAGAATGGTGCTGCCGGGGAGAACAGCGACGAGACCCGGCTGCCTTTCAGACGAGGCATCGCTCTGCTGGAGAGCGGCTGCGTAGACAACGTTCTGCAAGTCGGTGAGTGCTGGGAATAGGAAAAGGTGTTTTATTTATTTATATTAAATTAAAAAAAAAACACGTCCGTCGAGAGCAGAAGAGGAACGTCGAGGAGAAACGGATTCATTTCAACTAAACATCTGAACCAGACAGTACGAAATCAAGACAACGAGAAATATTTTGCTTGGGTGTCTGAACAAAGGAAGAATGTAGAGGGCAACACAACAGGGCTTTAAATCTACATAATACGATTGCTTTCAATTTTGACTTATGTTGTGTTTCCCCCTCTCCGCAAGAGGAAACGAAGGTACCAATTGTGTAATGAAACACATCGGTGGTAAATACTTGTTTTAAATCCCCGAGATCATTTAGTTAGTGAGAAAAGCATTTACGGAAGTAAAGGAGAGCTGCTATAAATTTAAAGGTCTAGCAATAACAAGGTTAAAGTACCCAGCACGATCGAGTGATCGTTTTTTGCTCGCCCCGTTTTTTATGTATATTTTTGGCAGCAGCTCGTTCGTCTCTTTCAAACAGGCGACCGAGGGAGAAGTACAGTGGAAAAAGCACAGCCCTGGCCTTTTTGTTTTTTTTTTCTGTTTATTTTTTTTCTTAGTGAAAGACATGGGGGAGGTTACTTGGCTAAGGTTTCAAATCTGTGATCACGTAAACGCGTATTTTTCTGCAGATAAGTTTTTAATCATCCGTAGGAGGACAGAGCATGCCTGTCATTGTTGTTGCCTTTTTTTTTATTAACCGGTTATTATTATTATTGTTGTTTTAAAAGGATCAGTGTGGCTGATTCTTTCCCTGGGAGCAGTAGCCCTCTGGTCTTTTTTAGCTTGTTTGCCGAGTGCGCATATCAAATAGCCGTCAGGCATTCCCATTGAAAGCTTGGCACTTTGTTCCCATTTTCATGTTCATTTGTGTCTTTTCAGCTTTCTGTCACCCTCCAAAAGGAAGGCGAACAAAAGCGCCTTTTTATTTCTTTTCAGTGCTTGTTAAATAGAAGAGATTTGGAAAGGGGTGGGAAGGAAGGCGATTTAAAGCTGCAGAGCCTCTATTTCAAAATGGACCCTGGTAATTTGCACAAATTTGCAGCTAATCAGTTCGGGTTCACGTTTGCCTTGCTCTGCTAGAGAGATGTGTGCGTTTGTTTCAAATAAGAAGCAGGCTGCTGCCAGTGAACGGGATACAGAGAAAAGAATACGCCAAATAGCCTGAGCCATGAAAAATGACAACACATCCTGCCTGTTCCCCGTCGAAGGCGGAATCAGGAGTCCAAATGTCCAGTTACGTCCCCCTTTATAAGTTCTGCCACCTTTGTTTATTCTTTATTGCAATTATTCTCCTATCCTTGGCTCCTCACCCTTGGAAGGGGTTCAGGATTTTAATCCCATTACTGTCTGCAGTTAATTTGAATTCTAATGCAATCGGCAAACGTGATTTTCTGCATGATCATTTTTTTTCCAAAGGCAGTCGGATCAGCGGTGCCTCATCTGGGCTTGGTGCCCTTCCTTTTCTGCTGAAGGGGGTTCCTGCTTATAATATGTTTGCGTCTTTATTTGGCCTGTCCGATATCCGTTTGGATCTCTTTGCATCGGGTCCCCTTTTTGTCTGCTTTTGAAATCCAGGGGCTCTGCCCTGTTTTCCAAGGATCGCAGACTAGAATTAGCTTTGGTTTTGTTGGCAGTGATGAGCGTGTTTTTGTGTGTGTGTGTGTACCTCACTCTGCATGCTAGCAATGGGGAATGACAGGAGTGCACACAGGGAGAGTTTCTTGGCTGATTGCATTTTAGCCTGGAATTCTCTGTGAAAATAAAGCCAAGCAGTGATAAATAAAAGATGCAATCTTCTTTGGGAGACAGGCAGGCACATGAGCTGAGCTTTGGTTGCTTTTAGTAGACCTAGTGGAGGCTGATATGGATTGCTGTGGCGTATGAGAACTTCTCATATAGCACAGCACAGGAAGAGGGATCTGTCACTGCTGGGGATTGGAAAAAAAAAGTAACCACTAGGATGTGGACAGTGTCTATGGATAAACCAAAGTCATCCTTAACAAATCTGCTTCCGTTTATCCTTCTCCACATTAAAGTTTCTATTTTCTCTTTTTACACCCAAGAGTAGCAGTGTGAACTATGGGCCTCCATCATTTGAAACCCACTTTGTTTCAATATTTTAATAGCAATCTCAAAACCTAGACAGGGCCTGACTCATTGGAATGGCTCTACATAAAGTCGGTGCACTGTACTTACAATTTCTCAGAAATAAAAGCCACGCTGCAGGATGTGGCCTCTTTTATTTACTGGCTCTGGAGATTCTTAGCTCCAGATGTACATTTAAAGATAGACATTAAACAGCAGTTGGTTATCCATGAAGCCCCAAGTCACATTGAAGTATACAGTCGGACAGTGATAAGACGGCTTTAACATTTTCAGTCTGTGAACGTCCTCCACAGAGGTTCCAATTATTGCTTAATTGTGAATTCTTTGCTAATGTATCAATCAGTAAATATGTATCCCGCCTGCCACTTGGATCAAGTTGATGTACGAGGTACGTCCTCCTTTAACAATGCAGAATCTCTTACCAGTTTTAGTTTTTTGGGGGCAAGAGCATTTAACCCCAGCACAGTATTCATTCAGTCTATAGGTCACAAGCTGTCTTGTAGCATTTTTAAAAGTGTTATGAGACCTTTTTTTCTGCAAGTTCACAGTGCTCACATTTTGAACAGCAAGAAAAGGATTGGGATTGAGTCTTTTTATCTCATTTCCAGAGGAAGGTTCACTGAGGTATGAGTAATCACAAGCCTGTTTACATTTGGGGAATGATGCATCATAGAGCTTGACATGGATTATTTTGGGATTTATGATGTTTGGTAGACCTTTGGTGAGGTTTATAATAGGATATTAAGTATGGCATATCCTGAAATATATAATTTTGTCTGGTTTTTATTTGTCTGGAATTTAAATTTCTTTACCAGGTTCATTTGCTTGAGTATTAGTATCTTAGTATTTTGTTTCTTTGTGATCTTTAGTTTCAAGCCCGTCTAACTGGACTAGAAAGATTTGCTTTAAGCATTTATCTTTGCCTTTAATTTGATTGATTTCCTGTAATGCAAAAACAACAGTATCCATATTATGCATCGCTTTAACATAGTGTGACTCCTATTGCAGAATATTAGGTGGGCTTAAGCTTATTTCTTTTTATGAGCAGTAGAGATGCAAAATGTTCACCGTCTGTGGCACTCATCTCATTTGCATTGCATAGTTACACATAGAGAAGTATAAATACTTGTCCATGGGTGTTTATCTCAACATAGCAGTTATCCTGGGTCAAGCAGTAGGATGGTATATCATGATATCCGATACCGACACTAAAGGGTACATTTGTTTTATTTTTTGACCTCATTACATGAGTGCTGTGTATGTCACAGGCCGGATAAAAATAGTTTAGTTTTACACTTCTGTCATGCAGAATATGTTAACTCTCTCCTTAACCTTAAGCCCATGTGCTTATTATTTGCTCTATATCTGGTTTAAACTTAATGAATCCATCTGTCTGACTTAATTTTGATCATAATCTGGTTTAGGATACTGAATGTATGCAGTCACTATTATTGTTGATCTAAATTATTTATTTTTTTTCCAACAACAATGTTGTAAACTCAAAGTCTCACCATTCTTTTTGGTTCTGTGTAGCAGGCTTTGTAATGAGAAGTAATTTGTATTAGTGCCTGAACTTTTCATTAAGTGATACAATGATACTGCCCAACTACAGCATAAGATGTAATTCTTTCAAAGCAAATGTATGCATTCACCAGGCGTTTCACAAGGTTCCAATGCATTTTGTGCATGGAAGTGAAGAATTTAAGATGTGGAACTTAAATCTTGCAAGAGTGTGTTGATTTAGTCACAGCTTCATTTGTGTAATTGATTATAGGGACCTTTCAAACATAATTTTAGCTCAGACAGGAAGATGTTAATGTAAGTGGTGCTGAATGATACAAAATAATGAATTGTAATGCTGCTTGATACATCTATACTTTAGAATCTAATCTAAGATTTGCGTGACCACAAAAAAATGTAATAACCAAGCAAATGTGAGTTGCAGTGCTGTCATCTGAAAAACATTCACAGCACTACCCAAACCTGCATCCTGATAAAACCCAAGTCATTTTCCACTTCTGAATGACCCAGAAATCCTCTCTTATGGAAATATCATTAAAGTATTCTGTCTACATTATTTAAGCACTAAAGTTTCCAAGTAATAATTTGGCATTGTCTTCCTGTTCGCACTATTTTCACAGGAAACTGCAGACCTACTAGTACAATGAATCGGCTTCAGTTCTGTTTTTTTATTTTCTCTGCTTATTAAACATATGTGCATATGTGGAATGGCAGTTAGCACTGCTGCCTCATGGCTTCAGGGCCCTGCTTTTGATTTTGAGTGGAAGTGTTGGTCTCTGCAGAGTTAGCATGTTCTCCCCAGGTTCATGTGGGATTGTGCTTTGCTTCCTCTCAACTCTAAAGACGGGACAGATAGGTTGATTGGCTGCTTAACGGTGTCCGTTCTGTGAAGAAAGAGGCTGGGCCTCCCCCCTCATTACTGTTCCTTATCAGGATGGGCTTCAACCCCCCTCTGCTTTCTGCTCGGATTGCTGTTTGCATCCTCACAATATGACCAGCAACTTACAGTTTTTGAGTGACACTCTGAGAAACTTGCTGCATGATTGCTTCAGCGAAAGATTATTTGACTAACTGTGGACAAAGAAATCGAATTGGCACTGCTTTTTGGGCAAAAGTAAATCTGACCTTATACTGTATGTTGTTAGTGTGCGCAGAGTGTATGAAATGAGTTATTTCTAGGTAGAGCTGTTTGTCATTGTGCTTTATTAGCACGTATAATGGCTTGCACAATTATGGGCAAATGTATTAGAAAGTCTGGATTTTTCCAGTAAGTGAGCACAAAAAGTTATTTATTTCAGTAATCTTTTCTTTTAAAAGAACAGATTGGCCATGGTGTGA